GTTGGCCTCCTCCAACTCTGGTCTTATGAGCTCTTCCAACTACATATTCTTCGGATCATCGAACTCCATTTTGTCTGCCTCTTCTTCCAACTGCATATTCTTGGGGTACTCAACCTCCATTTTCTTAATCCTTCGACACTAACCTTCCAACCCTAGAACAACGTTGAAAGCCTAGCAAATTGACGATGTGAGCTCTTTAGATTGGTCTCGCGGAAGCCAAAAATGTTCTTGACAACCGTATTTCAAGAGGCGGAATACTCCAAAAGTCAGATTAGTCGAACTGGCGATGGGGATCTGTTTTTGGACTCCATACATGATATTAGGTTCGGACTCCGGATTGAAAATTTTCTCATCTAACGGGAAAGCTGGCGTACTAATCCTTTCTAGTATCTGTTGTAGCATAGAAGCCACTTGAGTTAGCCCACACGTTGCAGTTTCACTCTATCTAGGAAACCAACTTCGGAGGAGAGTCTCCACACCACAATGTAAGAGGGGGCGGAGCAAAACTCATATCAATTGACTCTTTCCTCTCCCGATGGGGAGCTATTTGTTCTCGAGTTTCAGCCTCAGGATCCTCCTCATCTCCTAAATCTGGTGCTAAATTAAAAAACATTGTTCGACATACTGTGACCCTTTCAACGGTATCCAAAAAATGGATTCCAAGCTGTTCCTATCCCTCAGATCCTTCGATCGGGAATGCTTCCCTCTCAAGACTTGAGACTTGGTGGCTGAGAGATTCAGATAAAACTCCTTGGCTTGCCCCTGAGGTTCTTACATCTGTTCAATGATAGCCAGTTAATAAATTTTACATTTGAAAAAAGGGAAGTCCCTTACCAATGTTGGATGTACCTTATAGCCTTTACAACCATAAAAAGGGTTTTAGCTCATCCTGTGGAGCATTCACCCTCAATTTTTTCTCGGACTTCCTAGCAGCTGCAATTTTCTTCCTCTCATCCTTCCTGGAGTTAGGCTTATCTCATAATTAGATAGTCATAATACCTAACTTCTTCAGGCACAATGTACTATTGACCACAGTCGCCTCCAAGTACTGATGTAAAGGTAACTCTCTGTATTTGACCATATCATCATTGATCTTTTTGAACGACAGGAGAGTCTTCATTTTCTTCACCTCCCTCGTGATCGGCCAAATCGAAATCTTCCAGTTCTCTTGGGAGCCAATTAGGAACTTAGACCGTTAGTCCTTAACTTTACTCTCAACCCCACAAGCCAAAGTTTGGAACAAGTGGTGAAGGCTGCATATCTATCCCTGTTGACTTTAAAGCTGAAGAAACAAGAAAAGAGATGGATCGACCATGGGATGTTCAACCTCTTGGGGAAAATTATGAATGTCATGAAAATGATAATAGAATTCGACATCTCGTGTGTGGATGACCATAGTGAGCGAAAATGGCGCGGAGTTTGTGACTGAGAGGTAAAAGACCAGATTATTCCTAAAGTTGCTCGTTGCTCTCTCAGAATTTATGGGCACCCAGAGAACTATGTAGGGCTCAAAGATAAACGACCTTTGAATGCCCTCAACTTGATTCGCGTACACTATTGATTCCTCCGATAAGAGGTTAGTGCCAAAAACTCAGAGGAGTATTTAGGAGCCATGACGATAAAAAGAATATAGAAGGAAAGAACAAAATATTGAGCAAAAAAAAAAAAAGAAATACTAGTGCATAGTTTTACAACTCTCCCAATCCTAATTTTAGGTACCTAAGGGAACCTAAAGCAGTGTTGTTGTACAAACATCATTCGCCACATGAAATAGGAGAAAGAGAGTCACATCAAACACAAATAACTCGATATAAAAATTTAATATTTTATTTTATAAGCAAAATATTTATATCCATCAATGAAATACTTGATGAAATTATCAGTCGTTGCCTCAGTCAGAGCATAACTAAGTTGAGAAAGCCACTTGAAAACAAATTCATTATCTAAGATCAAGAAAGTTTCCCGGACGGTCGATATCATTATCTAAAGGAGTGTGACTTCCTCTTGGAGGGCAGCTTCCTGAGTGCAGATAGCAACTACTTTTTCATTCAGCCTCTCCGTCAATTTAAGCGACTAATGCTTTTCATGAGGATAAGCAAGATTGGCCTTCTGGACCAAGGATGCCTCAATCTCGTGGAAACAAAGCTCCATTGAGTCGTACAATACTGACACATTCAGGGAGTAATGTTCGCATCACCAAAAGATGAACCAACCACAACAAGAAAAATGATACAGAACATAATATAGAGATAAATAAAAAGGGATTTGTATTAAACGTGCATATTCAGTACCCATTATTCAGTCTAAGTCTAAAGTTGTAAAGGAATAGCCACCCTCGCTGATTCTCTGCTCTGTCGAAGGAAGAAGATCATCAGTTCTGTACACATAAGTCAAATGAAGATCGGCAGTGGTCTCATGAATAGTTGGCCTTATTTCATTCCGCTGCACCAACCCAACCACATACTTCGACCTCGACCCTTTTATCGGCGGAAGTAGACTCCATGGGGGAGCTGCCCAGCCGACCAACCTTTCCTCTAGATGGTTTAATTCTGTCATTTGGTGCTCCTCCTTTTGCCAAACCCCCTCTTTTATTTGTGCCCTTTCATCGGGACAATCTAAGAGTAAATATGACGACCCTACGTGATCATCTAAGTCAGAGGGTCTTGCCCTCTTCATAAGCAGCTTTTTATGCCTCTCAACCTCGGAACAAAGTGGAACACTCCATTTCAAGGCCTGGAAAAAAGCCTTCTGCTTAACATTTTCACCAGATTTGACCAATTTGGATGGATATCACTCGCCATAACAAGAAATGAAGAGCGAATGACGTTCACTGAAAGAAATCAAAAGCTAAGGTACGTTTTTCTCTTTCCCCTCCTCCCTATTTACAAAACATGAATTTAAAGATAACTCAATTATTACGTAATTAATAATCATGAATACAGTTAACATTTTGAAAATTGAGATTCTTTTGTTCATACCGCATTTGTCGCTATCCAGGAGCAAAAAAATTGTGGAGCTTAATATGTACATAAAAAATATCTGCTTGAATCTCAAAGAGACCCTGTGGTCAAGAGATAAGATGACATGGTAGAGCAGGACCAACCAGAAGTTACCAAAGAACCCATTCTTATTCGCACAGTTCATGCTAATCGAGCGACATTCAACACATACCCGACTTTGCACAGAACTCATCAGACATACCAAGTAGATAAAAGGCTCGTTCGGGCTATTCTACCAATCCACAAATAATGTCTTCCGAGGTCAAGCACTCGACTGGATACCTTATTAGGCTTCTGATCTTATTAACACCTATCACCCAAAATATCATTTGTTGTCCCTACTTTACTAAGGGTATATAGTGTAATTTAGTCAAACCCTTATCTATAAATAGGGGGCTCATCTCATTTTTATTCTATCTGCTCTTCTCTCATCTTTTACACTCAATTTCTTAGGTTTGCCTTCACGACAGTATCAGATTTTATTATACATAGACTATTACCGATTATAAGAACTAAATATTGCTAAAGTAATTTTTTTCTTTTCTCGAATCTAAGAAAAAAAATGTGATACAAAAAAGTCATAAAAAACTTTCTACTATCATCTATGTACAAAATATAATTCACCAAATGAAGTCTCTTTATTAAATGTAAGATAAAAAATATAAGGCCTATAATAATCACAGTAAAATATTATTTTATAGTGTGCTAAGAAATTATTAAATCTATTCTAAATATCTACTATACATGTAAAAAAATATTGAATTTATTTTAACATTTTGTGTCATGAAAATAATGAATCTTTTTCTTTAATTATTATTTAATTAATATTGCTATTCAATATCCACGTCATTAATATAAAGACTTTCATATATACCACCCAATTTCTCTGTTTTTACATATCTAACACCTAATTTTTACATACTTTATGTAATCTCACTTATTAAAAATTAAAATGTAACAAAAGTAAACTTTGGGTGTAAAATATGTAAATACCTAGTTAATTTGATTATTTATATGTATGGAAATGCACCTAATTAATTTGATTATTTATATGATATCAGCTAGGCAATTGTTAGAATAATCAATAATATTTGTATTTTTTATGCCTTCCAGATAGCTTTGTTAAGTTTCGGTCAGATCAGATAATACATAAATATCATTAAAATAACTAAATTGAATATTCATTTTGCCATTTTGTTATTAAAAAAAAGCTTAATTAACACGGTGACACGATAGAACATAGCACATATGGCAAATCAAATAGCTCAAATACTTATTTTTAAATTATTTTATTAACTAGGAATGCTCAAAATTAGGGCTGTCAAAACAGCTCGTTATTCGCGAACAACTCGTGTTCGACTCGTTAAGAAGCTCGTGTTCGGCTCGTTAATTTCATTCGATAAATTAAGGAGCCGAACACGAACTAAGATGTGTTCGTTCGTGTTCGGCTCATTTTGGCTCGAAATACTACTCCTCAAGTTTATATATATATATATATATATAAACTTGAGGAGTAGTATTTCGAGCCAAAATGAGCCGAACACGAACGAACACATCTTAGTTCGTGTTCGGCTCGTTAACTTATTGAACGAAATTAAAGAGCCGAACACGAGTTTCTTAACGAACCGAACACGAGCTGTTCGCGAACAACAAGCCATTTTGACAGCCCTATTTGTTCGTGAACAACTCGTGTTCGGCTCGTTAAGCAAAAGAGCGGAACACAAACACACTTTTTGAGCTCGAAATATAAACGAGCCAAACACGAGCTCGTTTACACCCCTACTCAAAATATCTTTGGATTTTTTTATCATAGCTATTTTTTTATTTTATTTTAAAAAGTTGAGATTTATATGATACCTTTAATGTAAAATATTACTATTCTGTACGTGGTATTGAACTTAAAAACTCTAATTTTTTTATTCGAGGTGTACTGAATTGAAATAAAAGACATTACGGTGCATTGAACATAGACATGCTAATTTTAAGGAAGTTGTCTACTCTCAACTCGCCATAAGCAATGACGCGAGATAGAATCTTCTTATAGTATAAATAAGAGAGCAGTATGGAAGAGAGAAGAACAGAGGGTACGAATTCTTTGTTCTCTGGTTTTGGGAGGGAATGGCTCAATCGCCTCTCCTCACTCCCTACAAAATGGGACCTTTCGATCTTTCCCATAGGTCAGTGTAGATCTTATCCCTCGTGGTGTTGATGTTTGTCTCACTTTACTCCTCGTGGTTGTTTAACTTCTCGTAGTTTAATTCTATGATTTTTTTTTAAATTTATCCATTTGTGGGGTTTTAGGTTTCATGCTCAGTAGGCAAATGCACAGAGTAAACCCTAGCTATTATGTTTTACAATTTACCCAACATCTAGGCCTTTTAACATGGAATCAGGGAGGGCTGCAGCAATTCCATCCTCTCGATCCAAACTATTTCCTATACGGCAATAATATTTACGAGTATTTTTTTTTTTAAATCGGAGTAATCAATGTGCAAGCATGGTGATTTTTTTGCTCCAATAAGTTTCAGAGTCAGTGCTTTGTTCTGATGACATTTTGATTCCTTGAATCTTTTCAGAGTAGCGCTGGCACCACTGACGAGGCAGAGGTCCTTTGGCAATGTCCCTCAACCCCATGCGATCTTATATTACTCTCAGAGAGCCTCCCAAGGCGGTCTTCTAATAGCTGAAGCCACCGGAATTTCAGATACCGCCCAGGGGTAAATTTCTCAAAACCCTAACCTGTTTAAATTTTGGCAAACACGTTGCTTTTGATGGTTTAAAATCTTTCTCCCATGTTGTTAGCAAATCTTATGCTATTACTGATAGTTTTTTTGCAACTTGATTGCAAATTTGAATTACTACTACCTGTTAAATTATGGACTTGAAGCCTCTGAAATAAAATTTAACTTGTTGAATCATGACATGCTCTGCTGAAATTTGCTAGAAACAAAAACAATCTTAATGTTTTGAATGGCCTGGAAAATTAATTCAGAAAGGAAAAGAAGGCACCATTCAACTTACTTGAACACCATCAAATTGACTCCAAGCTCTGTTCAATTTTGATCTCCGGACTTGCTGCCTATTTGCATTTGTGAATATGGTGGTAATAGATATTATTTTACATTTCAAAACCTTTGGCAAATTGCATTGCAAAACATATAATGGAAAAATAAGGATTGCACTTGACCAAAACATAAATTAATAGAGAGAATGTTTTCTATTTTCAAATATAGCTCCTTAGGCTCATTAATATTATGCTGATGATACCATATACGAATTCTATCATTGCATTATAAATTCTATCTTAATCAATGACAGCAGGATTCTTAGTTAAATTTTTTATCTAATTGATTCATGTAGTGCCAAACATGACCTGCCATTAATTCTAATATTAGGCACGGATTTCATTTTTTTTTTTTTTCATCTCATCACATGTAATGTTTGTTACCGTCTCTAGTTTATTTTTTATTTTGTTCTTTCCCTTTGTGGTAATAGGTATGCATCCACACCTGGAATATGGTCCAAAGAGCAGGTGGAAGCATGGAAACCCATCGTAGATGCAGTTCACGAAAAGGGTGGTATCTTCTTTTGTCAAATTTGGCATGTCGGGAGGGTTTCAAATTATGGTATCTTTTATCTACTAACATTGAATTTTTATTTTTTTAAGATATATTATTTTACATAATTATTTTTTTGTTGGTAGTTTCATTATATTGGATTTTTTTTCTTTAAAAGTGTGAAACTTGTAGCTCTTTTTCAGTACGAGTAAAGCGCCAAAATAGTTCCTTGACTATTTACATTGGGTCATTTTAGCCCCAAATTTTATAAAATGCTAGTTAGTTCTGAAACTGTTTTAATATAGGCCAAAATAGTTCTCATTGGAAATTATTTAAAATCATATTAAAGGAGTCTGGGTACTAAAATGATATCTTTATAAACTCTATGACTATAATGAACCCTCTGCAATGAGTCATGAGACTAGTTTAACTTTTTTCTCTTTTTAGTACTCTTTAGAAAAAAATAGCCAACTTATCCCAATCAAATTTTAATCAAAAGACTTTTCGAAGTTGTTGGATGTGTTTTGAGATAAGTGTTTTACTTGAGAAATCAATTAAAAATCATTTTGCACTCATCTCAAAGTATATCTGAGATCCAATAATTTTGACGCTCATCTTGGCAAAAAAATTGATCAGGATATTCTGAGCCAATTTTGTTTCTTTCTTCCAGCTTGTGCCTTTGATTTTAATGTGTGATTTAAAGAATAAGTAATATGGTGATAACAAAGTATTAGATAATCAACTAATTGACTTCATCTGCTAAGCGACAAGTCTTAGATATTCAACTCATTGACTTCACATTTTCCCTTAGCTCAGTTTTATCATCAGCAAAATTTCTTCTTTTTTTCTCGGTGCATGTTACATATTTAATTTTATTCTTAGCAAATCAAAAAGGTTGTTAAATGAAGGTTTAATATGTAGAGCACCTTTTCCAAATTGAAGGCATTAACAATTTCTCTGATAAAATCCTGATCGACATGAGTTATTTTACCACAGATTTTCAGCCTAATGGGCAGTCTCCAATCTCATCTACTGATAAACCACTAAAGCCTGTAGTCCGAGCCAATGGTATTGATGTTTCAACTTTCTCTCCTCCTCGGCGCTTGTCAACAGAAGAAATCGCAGGTGTTGTCAATGATTTCAGGAAAGCAGCAAGGAATGCCATTGAAGCTGGTTAGTGTTATCCAGCCTTTTGTCTCTAATACTCAATTTGTTCTTTTGATTTGCCACTTCCTTGGCACATTCTTTGATAGACTACTTTGATAAAAGGCTGATGGAGCATTTATCTCATATAGTAATGTGGTTATCATATAGTTCTCACAATTTTAGACCGTGGATTAGATGGAAAATGTGTATCTGATTACTCTTTTCTGCTCATTGCCCCTATTCCCTTGGTTCAAAGCTGAACCTGTTAATTTCATTTTTAAAAAATCTGACATTCTAATTTGTATTTTTATAGAATTTTTAAAGTTTTAACTCTTGGTATTCGAGAGGAAGTATTATTTTGTGCCAATTTTTGGTTGGATACAATGATTTGCAATGAAGTTTAGAATTTCAAACACATCTTTTGTAATATATTGTTTCTATCAAGGACATAATATGACACAAACATTCAAGAACAGGCCACTGCAGGTATGATTATTTAGAAGCATGAAGCGGTGCATCGGTACTAGAAACTTCTTCAAGGGAAGGTGGAAGTAGTATAGAGAGCGTGAGTTATGAAATACAGTTAAGAAAGTTGGTGGAGGGGAAAATAATGAAGAGGGACACTATTTTTACACTTGAAAAGTTCTTGATGACCAGTTGTTAAGCACAAATCTTACAATTTGATTACCACTCAAACAAAATCAATGTCCTTATTCTTCATTTTGTTTTCAAGCATGAGACTTAATCATGGGCAGTTTGGTCAAGGAAATGTTGTAAAACATGTATATGGTATGCTGTATTACTAAAAGAAAATAATTTTATCATCAATTATCATTAAATAAATCAATTTAATGCGTGGTTAAACTGTATAGACATGTTACTTTTCTGAAGCGTGCATGATAACATGACAAGAGTAGATTCAGTTTCGACAATGCAGATACCATTAAAAATATTTTACATCAATCCTCTTACCTGACCATTGATCACCATTTTTGGTGTACTTCACCATGCAGATGACTATTGTTTTCTGTTGAAATAGAATCAATTAGCTTCTATTTCACATTTTACATTGCTTGAATTTCCCTTTCTGAAGCCCAATGGCATCTTTAAATTCCATTTTCAACTTTGCTTGCAAAGCAAACTTACCGCACTCATCGAACTTTTTCGATTGCTCAGGCTTTGATGGAGTTGAGATCCACGGAGCTCATGGATATTTAATCGACCAATTTCTAAAGGATCAAGTCAATGATCGAATTGATAAGTATGGTGGCAGCCTCGAGAATCGCTGCCGCTTCGCGCTGGAGGTAGTTGAAGCTGTTGTCAATGAGATCGGTGCCAACAAGGTCGGCATAAGGCTGTCTCCATTCGCCGCCTACTCCGAAGCTGGGGATTCAAACCCAGAAGCACTCGGCCTCTACATGGCCAACTCACTTAACAAATATAGGATTCTCTACTGTCATATGGTGGAGCCTAGGATGATTACAGTGGGCGAGAAGATAGAGACTCCCCATTCTCTCTTCCCATTGAGGAGAGCATTTAAGGGAACATTTATAGTTGCAGGAGGATATGACAGGGAAGATGGGAATAAGGCCATTGCTAGTAATTATGCAGATCTGGTTGCATACGGTCGGGTGTTCTTGGCTAATCCTGATCTTCCTCGAAGGTTCGAGCTCGATGCTCCTCTTAACAAGTATGATAGGACCACCTTTTACATTCCTGATCCTGTTATTGGTTATACAGACTATCCATTTCTTGATTCTAAACCTTAAAGATCATTCTTCTGTTAAAAATATTACTATATCGGTTGTAAAGATAAGTTACAACGCAATAACTCTTGTTGCATTATACCTTATGTTAGTTACTTCCTTTTCCTTATTATAAGGGTATAATCCCTATGTACTTTGAATCTAGCATTTATTAAGAAAATGCGCCTTTATTTGTTGTTCTTTTTATGGTACGCACATCTATTATTTAATAGAAATATTTTGTTGTTGGCTATTGCCTTGGAGCACTTTTGAATTTTGTTTTTTATTTTTTATTTTTATTTTTTTGCCTGTATTTTAATTTGGCACAGAATTTGTTTGTTATATTATAACATATTTATTTGTTTTTAAAAATATTCAAAATAATTTTTTAATATTTTGAGTATTTTTTTTAAAGAGGCTAATTTATTTTTGAAAATAAAGTATAAAAACACGCAAAAAATGTACAAAATATACATATTTTTAAAATAAAAAAAAATTTGATTTTGAACAAGCTCTTAAGTTTTGAATTATAAAATAAGTTTGTGCATTTTTAGTATCTAACCCAACTTCGGTGATTCATCCTCTTTAACAACTGGTATGATTGGTCATGCAATTGATGATTCATTATAAATTATTTTGCGAGTTTCGTGACGATCAACCATGGTTCAAAGGTGAGCACTCTCATGGTATCTCCATATGGTTGAGTGGACATTTGATGCATAATATGATAAACGGGGGAGGTATCCTTCTATAATACTCTTTGATGCCAACCATCAAAGGAAGGTAAAATGCCTTCTATGAAAAAATGCTTTATTATTGTCATTGCAGTGATAACACATTTAAATATTCACAGCTATAAGATTAAAAATGAGAAAGCTTTTCTCCAGATAAGATTGATTTTTCAAATGGACTCTGTAATTCTCGAATATGTCTCTAAAATCCTTGATTCAAATGTTATCATTCTCTTCCTGAGATAATTATATACAGACCATCTGAAACATTAATATTTATAACTTAAGCATGCCGGTGATTTTTTTTGAACATATCAAATCTTTGAGAATTTGATAAAAAGAAAAGATATAGGTTTGGATTTTATCATAAAATTTGATATTGGAATGAGAAGTTAAAAAATGAATGAAAGAGGGTGCTTATTTTCTAAATAATAATGTTTCAGGTGCTCTGTATTTGGCAATGCTTATTGATGAATTAAACAACAATGAAGTTTTGCATATAATTAAAAAAAGTTTTAAATACCGTAAGAATTTTGAAGTGAATTGAAGTTTTTATCTAGCTTATCATTAAAACTCAAGAAAATTTACTTACATGTCACAATTTTTATGTTTTTAAATATCTAACATTTTATTTTAGGGAGATTTACATACATGTCTCCAAACTTTCTAATTTATGTATCTAGCACTCTAAACCTTAAATTCACTATATCAAACCTAAAACTTGAAAATGACTCGAAAAGATACACTCCTCTGTTCTCTCCGACGCAAACCACTGTCTCGCCCGCTATTCATTTCTTTTGTGTGCGAGAGTACTGGATTTCCGAGGGCTTACTGTCGCGTCTCTTCTCTTGTTGGTAGCTCCATTTCACGAGATAGTAAAATTAAAAAGGCGAGAACTAAATTCAGAAGATGATGGCATCGTTGTGCAAAACATGTTGCTAATCGTAGGAATTGCAGCAGCACTTTCAGCATTTTGTTATGCGAAGCTTGAAAGTCTATCATTATGACCCAATTTTTGTCTTTTGATGCGGCAGCATGTTCTCTTTTGTTGCAATTCTACATCATATCTGCAAAGCATTTGATGTTGCAAAGATTGTTTCTACCACTAATTGGGTTAGTTCAAACAAATCTCTTCAAATCTTTTCATCATCTTCCATTCCCTAAATATATTACCTCTCTGCATAAATTATGCTTTCAATTTTCTCCGATTGCTTTTTCTCACTATTATTAATTGCATCAGTCTAGTTCATGAATTCTCCAGTTTCATAAATATAGTGGTATAGCAGCATGATTTTTTTATCGTTTTAATTCCATTTTCCTTAACATACATATCACTTATTTCTTATGTATTTACATCTGTAACACGTAAACTTCATTTTTAACATACATGCCTCCTCACTTATGCTTAAGAGGGTGTATTTCCCCCTTTTGTGGGCTATATAAGCCGATGAGCCACTACTCATTTGGGTTGTTAGAGATTCACTCTCTGTCCATTGACTTAGCAAGAGATTTGAAGCACATGGGTGCTCCCATACATAATAGTTTTCCTTTGTTGACCTATCTCCCCAGGTTATTGATAATATAAGTGAAACCTCTTTTATCGAGAGTATTCATGAGTATTCCCCGAGATGTAATTAACTAAGTGGGATACATCCCCTTGAGTATATTCTTGAACCCATGACAGGTACATACACTTGACTCTTTGGTTATCGGTGGATATTGGTCCAAGGTGCCTCCGCTAGATCTTGTTTGGGCTGATATACTTGACATATCCTTGTGAGTTTTATCACACAGTGGCTCTCCACTTTTTTCTTTTCTCTTGTTTTTCGTATTTATCTTATGTCCGTCTTTTTTTATTCCTCTCTTCTGATCATTCATATTATTCATAAGATAGATTTATCTAAGAAAGGTAAGTATAAGATGATCAACAAGATGGCGCTTCCTTTAAAATTAAAACAAGAGAAAAAGAACAAAAATAGTGAATACAGTAGAGTGACTATACATTGTTATCATGCACAATCATTGCATTACATTGTATGTCTTGTTATGATGTGAGTTTTGCATGATGCATTTTGCGCGTGTCATTTTTTAATTGACCGACAATCATGACCTGGTCGATGTACCGCTTGAAGTCAATCCGCCTCTCTGGCCAGATAGAGATGGCACATCAGCTCGACCGACACCCTGGCATCGTCATGCTTCCACATTGGCTCGGCTGGCCGCCTCAGCATAGTCAGCCTTCCATTGTAGCCCGATTGATCACCATCAATCCAGTTAAATGGTCATTACTTACATTTGGATGTCACAACATTGAAATTTCTTGTATACTTTTGTTGAATTGCTTGCATCAACACATCCACATCTGGCACATTCATTGTGCATCTCGTGAGCTTTCGTCGCTACATTTTTATAGCTAATAGTCATGCTTCAATTGAGCATGATACTTAGCATCTCTGCCCATGACATCTTCATGCCATGTGCACATCACCTTGTCTTGTGCATGCTCCTACACTTGCTTGACATTTTTGCATGATCATTTGTTACATACTTGAGTTACATTTTGGTGTTTGTTCACGCACTCACTTCACTTGTGTGTGATTTCTTCTTGTCGGAATCAACACATCCCTTGAGTAACTACCTCCTCGGCATACCCATTCCTTGGGTTCTTGCCTCCTCAACATACCCATTCCTTTGGGTCACTGCCTCCTCAACATATCCATTCTTTTAGGTCACTGCCTCCTCGACATACTTATTTCTTTGGGTCACTGCCTTCTCGGCATATCACTCTCTTGGGTGCTTCCTCAGCATACCCTTCTCTTTTATCATTACCTCATCGGCATACCCATTCCTTGGATCACTGCCTCTCTGACATATCTGTTCCTTTGGGTCACTACCTCCTCGACATACCCATTCCCTTGGGTCACTGCCTCCTCGGTATACCCATTCCATAAGCCACCGCCTCTTTGGCATATCCATTCCTTTAGGTCATTTCCTCCTCTGCATACCCATCCCTTAGGTTATTGCCTCCTCAACATACCCATTCCTTTGGGTCATTGTCTCATCGACATACCTATTTCTTAATTCACTGCCTCCTCAGAATACCCATTCCTTTGGTTCACTTCCTTCTAAGTGTACCCGTTCCCTTGATCAAATGCCTCCATGGTACACTCACCCCTTTGAGCCATTACCTCCACGGTATGCTCACACTTTTGATTCAATGCCTTTTGCGATATACTCACCCCCTTGAGCCAATGCCTCCACGGTAGACCCACACTTTTAAGTCAATGCCTCTATGGTATGCTCACACTTTCGAGTCAATGGCCTCACGGTACACTCATCACAACTTTGGTGTATGTTTGCTTGCATTTTGCATTTGCATATGTGCTTGATAGTGATCCAGGCTCGATAGGTGACGTGTAGTTAAGAATGCTATTATTTCTTTATGATTTGCACATTTTTATGGATGAGATTGCACTTTAAAGAAAGTATTTTTATATTTTTCTTGTAGGTACAAAAGGTAGTGGAAGTGAGGAAATGTGGAGCGACTTGAGTAAATGAGCTTAATTGAGGATTGATGCCTAGGCACCAAACCCCTAGGCGCCTACCCACCGATCCCTCACTTGGACAACCCGAGAGGTTGGAGCCTAGGTGCCAACCACTGGTCACCTAGGCACCACGATACTGACACCTAGGCTTCAGACCCATGGACGCTTGGGCACCCATGCCTTCTTTAGCAAACTGAGAGAATGGAGCCTAGGCGCTAGTCCCTGGGCACTAGCAACTGCATGGAGTGGTTTTGGTAGTTTGTGAAGCCTGTCATGGGAAGTTGCTAGGAGGACATGGAGTGGTTTCTTAGGCTGAGAATAGAGTTTATAAATATGCATGTATCAGAGACTTGAGAGGATTGATGAAGGAGGACTGTTAGGGTTGTGTGGAGAGATTTTGACTTGTTGTATAATCTTTTTCTTCTTCTTCTAGTTTAGAGGAGAGGGAGAGCCTTCAGGAGTAGTAGCTCAGATTTAGTAGGAGTCTTGGATAAGCATCTTTAGGTCATTATAAAGGAGAGTGAGATTAGTTTTGTTTGTCTTTATTATTTTATTTTATTTGTAAACATTTAGATAATGGATTTTTCTGGTTTCAATAAATCTGTGTGGTGTTTTCTCATGCTTCTTGAGTAGATTTCTTTACCTTACATTGTGATGATTAAGTAGGATATATAGAACATGGAAAGTGCTTTTAAATTACTTTTAATTATTGAATGTGATATTTAACTTTCAGATCTTCATTTACTTTTCAATATGATCGAGTGAAATGTTAAAATGTGTTGTGCATGACAATAACACAGAAGAGCTATGGTAGAATCAACTAGGTTAGTCACATTGAACTATGGGGTATAGGTTGATATGCTTTTTAAGGAGATGCAAATTTTAGGGAAATATGTTTTGAATACTTAATTACAGAATTTA